CAGGTAAACCCACCTGGGAGCAGCCCTGGGTGCTGTGGGGTTTTGTCCTGACAGGTAAACCCACCTGGGAGCAGCCCTGGGTGCTGTGGGGTTTTATCCTGACAGGTAAATCCACCCTGGGAACAGCCCTGGGTGCTGGGGGGTTTTATCCTGACAGGTAAACCCATCCTGGGAGCTGCCCTGGGTGCTGTGGGGTTTTATCCTGCCCAACATCATCCTGACAGGCACAAATCCCACCTGGGAGCAGCCTGCTGTGGGCTCTGTGGGGTTTTATCCTCCCCAACACCATCCTGACAGGCACAAATCCTCCTGGGAGCTGCCCTGCCCTGGGCTCTGTGGGGTTTTATCCTGACAGGAAAATCCACCTGGGAGCAGCTCTGGGTGCTGTGGGGTTTTATCCTGACAGGTAAATCCACCCTGGGAGCAGCCCTGCTGTGGGCTCTCTGGGGTTTTATCCTCCCCAACACCACCCTGACAGGTAAACCCATCCTGGGAGCTGCCCTGCCATGGGTGCTGTGGGGTTTCATCCTGATGGAATGGTGGAGCTGACTCTGTGGGAAATGGGAGCCTCCTCCAGCCAGCTCTCATAGGTTTATTTCAGCTCTTAGAGGTTATTTTACACCCTAAAAGCTCAGCTACCTTACAAAGCTACAGCAACATCCCCAGCATCATCCTGACAGGTAAATCCCACCTGGGAGCAGCCTGCCCTGGGTGCTGTGGGGTTTTATCCTGACAGGTAAACCCACCCTGGGAGCTGCCCTGGGTGCTGTGGGGTTTTATCCTGACAGGTAAATCCACCCTGGGAGTAGCCTGCTGTGGGTGCTGTGGGGTTTTATCCTCCCCAACATCATCCTGACAGGCACAAATCCTCCTGGGAGCTGCCCTGGGTGCTGTGGGGTTTTATCCTGACAGGTAAATCCACCCTGGGAACAGCCTGCTGTGAGCTCTGTGGGGTTTTATCCTGACAGGTAAACCCACCCTGGGAGCAGCCTGCCCTGGGCTCTGTGGGGTTTTATCCTCCCCAACACCACCCTGACAGGTAAATCCCACCTGGGAGCAGCCCTGCTGTGGCTCCTTCCTTCAGCCATTCCCAGCCCTTGTCCAGGTGTGTGTCCAGTGCTCACCTGCACACAGGCAGAGCACCCAGAGCTCCAGTTTTGCAGTGCATTTGTGCTCCTGAACTCCCTGGGTCCTGTGCTGGGGTGAGGAAAAGCTGCGGGAGCCAAGCTCTGCCTGCTCAGCCCCAGCTGGCCAGCAGAGGGTTGCAGTGTCACATATGGTGGCCAATCTGGTCACAGCGGGATTTTGGAAACGATCCCTGCCCGGGGATTGCTGATGGGAACGGTGGAAGCTGAGGGAGAGAAAAGGCTCCAGCCACAGCAAACACGAATTTTGGGTTGTGTTTGGTGCCTTGGAGGTGCCGTGAGGAATCTGCAATCTGCAGGAGGGTGGGTGTTCCTCAGCTGAGAGCTCCATAACCATTGCCAGGGTTCTGGGAGCTGTTTCCTGACTGAGCCCTGTGTGTTGTGTCCCTGCAGTGACAGGAGAATCCCCCCCCAGCTTATCAAAAGAACTGACCAGCTCCTTGGCAGGAGTGGGGGACGTCAGCTTCGACACGGATTCCCAGTTCCCTCTGGATGAACTCAAAATTGACCCTTTGACCCTGGATGGACTTCACATGCTCAACGACCCCGACATGGTCCTCACCGACCCCGCCACAGAGGACACGTTCCGCATGGACCGGCTGTGACCCGGGGAGCCGCCACGTGGGGGCTTCACCCACCCTGGGGGCTGCATCCCCACCTGGAGCCACCATCCCGGGGCTGCATCCATCCTGGGGGCTCCCCCTGGGGCTGCATCCCACCCTGGGGGCTTCATCCCACCCCAGAGCCACCATCCTGGGGGCTGCATCCCACCCTGGAAGCTCCATCCCACCCTGGGGCTCCATCCCACCCGAGGGTCCATCCCCCCCAGGGTCCCTCCTGGAGGGAGCAGCTCTCCCTGTCCCTGTCCCATGGGTCCCCAGCTTGTTGTTCTGAGCTTGCCGCGCTGCCCAGCCCGTCCCAGCCGTGTCCCCCGAGCCGCTCGTTGCCGTCCAGCAGTCAGGATTGTTCGGTTTGTCCCGGTGGTTTATCCCGGTTTGTCCCGGTGGTTTATCCCGGTTTATCCCAGTGGTTTATCCTGGTTTGTCCCGGTGGTTTATCCGGTTTATCCCGGTGGTTTATCCCGGTTTGTCCCAGTGGTTTATCCCAGTTTGTCCCGGTGGTTTATCTGATTTATCCCAGTGGTTTATCCGGTTTGTCCCGGCGGTTTATCCGGTTTATCCCGGTGGTTTATCCTGGTGGTTTATCCCGGTTTGTCCCGGTGGTTTATCCCAGTTTGTCCCGGTGGTTTATCTGATTTATCCCAGTGGTTTATCCCAGTGGTTTATCCGGTTTGTCCCGGTGGTTTATCCCAGTTTGCCATCGGTTTCCCCTGCCCAGCCCCCTGCCCCAGTCCCTGTGCACCCCGGGGGGCTCTGGGCAGGGGGC